CGGGTATTCGCGACAAGTACAAGTATTCGGGGTGGCAAGGCGGCGGCAGCCGTCATCTGCGCGGTGTGATGAGAACCGCGGGATGGCGAAAACTTGCCGCGCCGAGAGAATAGCGAGAGGCGTTACACCGAGACGCGAGCGAGGGAAGTCTCTCCTTTTTTTATCTCGATACTGATCGACATCGATCGATCGTTGCTTCGCCGTCGTTGGCTTCTTCTTCCCGTTCGTGCCTGCCTCTGCTTCTTCTTCCCGATACCAGAGCATTACCGAACTTGCGCGTTTCTTATCACGTACGGTACCGCCGCAGGAACTGGATATCGTGTTACGTTGCAAAAAGCGAATCGCCGAGCTCGACGAGAGTGACATGCCAATTTTTCAAAGTAGAACAACATATTTTTATCGTTTCGTACATTCATTAGTTACACAGATATAACGATTTTGTTGAAATAAAAATTACACTTAATAAATATGGTTTTTAGAATTAAAGTCTATTTTAAATCCGCAAATTTAAGCGTTATTTTTTTGCTTTTTACAGAAATAATACCTAAAGTTTTTTCATAATACCTAATTTTGCTGAAGCATTTAAAAATTTAGCTAGGTACAAAATCTGAAAATAATTTTGTTAAACTATCTAAATAATTACGTAGGAATCTCAAGTATAATGAGCTGCAAAATATTTTACCATTCTAGTAATCAGTTTGACCGTCCTACATAATTATTTTAACGGTCAAATAAAATTATTTTCAGATCTGTAATTTAATTTTCAGATCTTGCTATATTTTTAGCGAAACCTTTTCCGTTATCCTGTATGTAGGTCGCCATCGTCTTGTAGTTTTTTTTATCTACAACTTCAACTCTCCGAGTTCTTCGTGAATCTAGATAAACAACTCATACTAATGATAAATGATTAGTATGAGTTGTTTACTTGGGATCACGAAGAACTCAGAGTTGAAGCTGTAGATATAAAAAATTCAGACCAAGGCGACCTATGTAGTAATGATTAAAAATAACTCAAATTAAATATAATTTGACGTTATGAATTTAATAGTGTACAATATTTCTTTAATAAAATCAGAAAACATGTCAAATATTATTTGGATATTACTTAAATAACTCGTTTGCGTTGATGAATTCATTTAACAGCGTCTTTCACGAGTTTATATCCTTGCAAATCCGTGTATGGATTTAAAAGTAGCACATCGTGCTTCATTCATACATATAATTTTGATAGAGCTGTCTGTCGGATATCCAGTAGCCGCAGCGCATCTTTCGCCTTCTCTGCCGCGTAATCCTCGAAAGGGCTGTGCTTCTCGACGTGGCGGGATTATGCCATCTGCCTTTTCTGACTTTTTTATTCGGAGATACGAGATACAAACCGGTGCGCTGTTTCGAGACATACACGTCCATACGCGTCCGGCAGCTGCCGCTAAAAAATACGCGCGATCGGCGCGTACGACGTTATTTCTACACACGTCGTGGATTACGGCCGAGATGTAACCGTCAGAGCGGATTATCCGGAATTGCTGTGGAACGCTACGGGCGATCGTACTGACAGTTTCGTGTCTATTAAATGGAGTGTGCTCATATCCACCCGTCCAGAGATTTGGATTCCGACGAATTTCCGTGGTCAAACAACCGGTTGTGTGGTAACTCCTCTAATCGTATTTTATCAGTTTAATGGACAGTTAAATAAAATTCTTATTAATATTAATTCGGTTAGTTTTATGATAAATTAATTATTCAATTATTCATATTTATTGCAATAAATACGTCACTCTTCCATGTGAGATTTTAAATAAAATCGTATTATGATAAAGGAAAAGTATACGAAATTTTTTTTTTTCTAAAAGATTTTCTAAAATTCAAATAACTCTCTTAAATAAAAATTTTATTAAAATATACTCTTTTAGACAGTAACATTTATCTTAAAATTTAATCCATTACATAATCCATCTATCCTGAAATTTTACATGGAAAGGATGATTTTGTTGGACCATCAAAATACTTAGGAATCTCTAAGCAATGCTGCAAAAAGATATGACATTCTTTCAAGTTTGAGCATTCTATGTAATTATTTTGTCCAACAAAATTATTTTCAGATCGGTATTTAGCTAAATTTTTAAATATTTCATTAAAACCGTCCTGTCCATGTATTTGTATTAAATTAATCTAGAATTTCAGTTGCTTATGTTTTCTTTTATCTAGGAAAAATCAAGTACGAATTCGAGATTTATTCGCGGACAAAATTTGTATAAATGAATCGTAAGTAGGCTACGTAAATAAAAGTTGTCAGCTGACGTTTACTTGCAAGTTTGCCAACACTTCCACTAAAAAAGAAACTTCCGTTTTTTTCCCGCAACTTTTTCCTCGCGCAGCTTCGCGCGTTATTGCCCCAGGCTCTTCAATTGTAAAAAAATCTGGCAAAAGTTATCCACTGCGACGTGATGCACTTCAGCCCCGCGGGCAGCTTCAGTTCGTGGCTTCCCTCTCCGAAGGATATGACGTCATCCCCTGCGCGATGTTTGCCGGTGGCGATAAATGGAAAATAAAAGGAGAACCGCTCACGCCCTTGTCCGAGCGGCCAGCAGCCCCGGGTATAAATCATGATCGAATTGTTCTCCATGAGAAAGAGAGAGAGAGAGAGGGAGGGGGGATAGAGAGAGGGTTCCCCGACCCTGAATGTCAGGCAAGTCCCTGCCGGAAATTAGAATAACGCGAACGATGAGAGACAAGCTGCAGCAGCATCCCATCCTCAGGCGAAGCGTTCATGTCATCGCATCGTGGAAATGCATATCCAGTTACACTCATTTGTTAGGACTTGTAATAATTTTTAATTTGGTCGCTCTAAAAAGATTTGCAATTACTGTCAGAAATACGAAGCACTTTTAATAAGTTGTAAATTATAATCAGCGTTCCCATAAATCAAAAGATACAATAAATCTTTTCTAAATGCTTCATTAGTTATTTTATTTTTATTGTGAAAAAATTGTGTCGTTTAATTCGTGAACTGCCGCAAGCAGCAGCAATTCATTAAAGGTGCTCCATGCTTTTTGATAGAAAAGCGGGTGGATACGATCTTTTTTTTTTTTTTAGAATGATATTGTTTAACCACTATGAGTCGAACATTGGAATATAGCGCTGTACAGTGTATTCCCATTCGTTGCGCTCGAAACAGGTGAGCTCGGATTTTCGTTTTTCCAAGTAATGAAGCCGAAAGGGAAATACATACATACGGGTGTAACGCTCACTGCTGAAGCCATGTCAAATAAAATAAAAAAAAAATCAAATGTCAAATAAAAGAATTAGTCCCGTTACGTTTCATGTCGTCAAGCTAGTCGATCAGATTTTCGCCTGCATGCCGCGCATTCGTTCCCCTCGATTTTCGGAAATCCTCCAACGGACGGGAACGACGACGTAATTTCATTACGTGTCAAATCTATCGGTCTTTTCACCGATTCACTTCATCCCGCCGGCATTCGCGCACTACGGGGTGGTCCGCCGTTACCGGATGCTCTTTCATCACGCAACCGCGGGAATGAAGTTAGGATAATGATAGATTTGTCTGAACGTCAAGTTACGTATGATTACGAAACTACTTAATGTTGAAGATTGAAACGTTTGAGTAGCTGCTCCAGATTGATCAGAAATGAGCAGGTAGAATTGAATAGATCAGGTATATAAATAAATAGCGATATTAATAGTTAGCTATACGACTATGTAAGTATCTATATACAGCAATGGTTACACGGAAAGAACGATTTTGTTGAAATATTGGAAAATTTAATTAGATACAGATCTACACTGAAAAAAGAATTTAATTTTAAGTTTAATTTTAAGATATTAAAATTAAACTTAAAATTTTATTCTTGACTTAAAGTTTTATTCTTGACTCCATTTTTTAAACACTTAAAAATGTTTTAAACTTTTTAAATAGACAAAACATCTTTAAGTGTTTAAAAAATAGAGACAAGAATAAAACATATTTCTTTTTACAGTGTAAAAATAATTTCGTCGAAATATCAAAATGATTATGTTGGAAAATAAAAAATTATATGAGCAGTGCTACGAAAAATTTTGCTGTTTTGAAATATCTAAAAATTTAAATAGATACTGATTTAAAATACTACTGAGATACTAATTTTGTTGGACTATCAAAATGATTATGTTGGAAATTAAAAATGAGCAGTGCTACAAAAATATTTTGATATTTTAGCAACCAGCATTTCCAACAAAATTATATATATATATGTTCAGATCTTTATTTGATTATCCAGCAAAATTTTAAATTTTTCAGCAAAATCGTTCTCTTGTTTTGAATTTATATCTCTAAATATCTTTGAACAAGATATCGAATGGTCGAGACTATATGGTTATAGTCTATATAGAGACTATATTATTGCTGAAGTTTATCCACGATCCCGAAAACTCATTTTCGTCGCTCTGGGTAATACTTCGTTAGTGGTAACATTCATGCTATACAAGGTGTCCATTATGTGATATTTTACGTTCTAAGCGATTGGTCACAGAGAGGGTAAAGGTTCTTTGTCGTAAACTTGAATGTTTCGCCAGAATCTTTAAATGGACGTTTTTACGTAACCGAAAATCGTCTCACTTTTATAAAACCGAACGGATACAACGTGAGGATTTCATAGAACGGTACACGCTCTTACCCAAAATCGAACATTCGAAACATTCCTCAACCGTGAAAATTTAAAATGTGTCACGTAGCTAGCGAATAATTGGAGTTTCGAATGCCGAAACTCTGAAGCGTGAAACACGCGAGGTGGATAGTTCGCTCAGATTGAAGAACCGATTTGTTTAAAGAGTTAAACAAGCTCAGTTCTTTAACGTAGTTGTACGACAAGTTGAAATAGCTATCCCTAGTATATATTTTTCTTGCTCGGCAACCGAAACTGCGCTTGCCATTTTATTGCTAAGAGAGAATTGCAAGTATTTTCAGGTATATGTACGACTTCATAGTTCCATTGTTCGTGTTTCAGGTCCACCCGGTGAGCCGGGTCCACCCGGAAAGAGGGGCAAGAAAGGGAAGAAGGGCGATCCCGGGGAGCCCGGTGCGCCGGTGAGTACCTTCGTGCCGATGCTTCAATACCACGCTGGGCATGCCATATACACATACATACATATATACATATATGTATGTATGTATCAATAACCCTCGGATATATTAGTGCACTAATACACGTGCAGTTGTGTGTGTTTATTAGGGAGTGCAGCTCCATGCATGAAATAGTAATTAATGATACGCGTTATATTATCCCTGTTCCCCTTTTCTGAACTTGAGTACATTGAGTACATTGAGTGGTGACTAATGTAAGCAGTACGCGCTTTCGCGAGACTTGCATGCCCAGTGAAGAGAATTAAAGACACCCCCGCGAAGATGGTCTGAACTGTAAAGTTTAAAAAATGAGCTGAGTATCGTGTATTAATCATGGTGTACTTGCGTTGTAAACTCCATTTTTCTTTAGGAGAAATTAATTTTTTCTTCCTCTCCTAAGAAAGTAAGAATTTATTAGATTGCTTTTGCGGGCGTGTCTTCAATTCAACATGATCGAAAACTTTGTCGCGTAATTACGCCAGATCATAAATGAAGCTCGTCCATACCGGTTGCGGAGAGAGCTAATTTGATATTTAATTGATACTTTTCTGTTAGCTGCATCTTATAAAGAAATATTGATGTCGGATGACTCGGCGATTAAAACGCGAAGTTACAATATGACGTTGTTAGCGGAGAAACAAATTAATCTCACTCGCGCGATACCAACTTACATTATGTCAAGGCGTAATTAATTAGTTTCAAACTGTACATACGTACATACAAATTATCCGTACGTACAACAACTTATTCACATTCTCGATCTTAATACAAAACTCGAAGGCTATTACTCTCCCTTTAAATTTAATTTATTATTAAATCTTACATTTATTTTTTTTTATTCCTCGACATATGTTGGCCGCATTAAATTTCAAAATTATACGAAATAATGGCTTTAAAGTCGGATCGTTATCTGTCGAGCTTAATCATCGACTTTGAAATTTTGTGCCCGTCGCGACGAGCAGGTTCTCTCTCCGGCTGGCAGCATCGTGGGTGTTCCAGAGACGCGCGATCGGATTTCCCTCGCGATTACCGATCGAGCGAGCGCATCGTCGCGTAATCAAAGATCGGATTGGCGGAACACCGGGTGAACTGGGAGGGAATGGACCGGCACACTCGTGTGCGTGCGCGCGTGCTTATACGCCCGTGGAATATCTAATTGGCCGGAATAATTATCGGCGAGCGGTAGTATATACGGGTCCTTACAGCCGCGATCGTATACATATATATGTATACGCAACCGGGACCGATAATATCGCGGGCACGATCGGCTGGTTCGCGAAATAATCGCTTTTGCATGCGCGCGAGAGAGTACCCTGAGTAAATCCCCCCCCCTTCTCTCCCCCTCCTGTCTCCTCGTGTAAACGAGTTTTTAATTTTTTATACCCCTTCTTACAGGGTGTGGCCGGGACGCCGGGCAAGAACGGTTTTCCGGTATATTATTTTTTATTTTCTCTCTCCAACACTCCTTCTCGCTTCTCTCTGTCTGTGTAACGTCTGTCTCTGTCTCATATCCTTACATTTGCATTCGTATCTCTGTTCGTTCTTTCTATCTCTTTTTCTCGCTGTCACGTTTTTTTTAAACACCACGGACTATCACCACACTGTGTGTATCGAACATAACAGCCATTAAGTACCATTAATGCGTATCATGTAGCCGCTGATGTGCGATTTTTGCTCGTTCGACCTGCTTCTTTATCCGCGAGCTGTCTCTCGATCTGGATCCTCTTCCAGCTCCGATACAAGCTATCCATCTAGATTTTTTATTCTCTTTTTTTTTGTATCATATGTCAGTGCGCGATTCATATACGCGCGCGATCGAAACGAGATATCGGACTCTGGCATCCTCACCTTCAATATTGTATGGCGCGTCGCTTTGACGACTGAAGGTGCAACTGTTATACGCATCGAAGAAATGGGTTAATTGCATTTTTCACTCGTTGCGAGTATCGTCTCTCGTTTTAATTACTGACAATCTTGAGCCGCCTATCAACGCTTTTATTCGCATAAAAACTCGCAATCGCTTTATCAATAAAATTTGAATATCTCTAGTAGTATGTGAAAGGTTCATTTACATAAAATTTGTATAAAAAAGTAAAATTTTATTGCGGGAAAAAATTTATCTTTCACGACGTTACATACGCGATTTGTAACACTCGATCAATTGATAAAGAGTGTTGCGCGTTGCTTTTATTTAAATTGTATGTAATGAAAAATATGTAAATTAGACGTAACGTAAAATAACTGACATTTATTTGTTGAGTCTGATTAATCACGGTGGCAAACGATATCGAAAGAAATTCAGTATAAATTGGCGCAATGGTGAAACACCAATTTTGAGATATGACCCGGCATGAAATATGAAAGTTGCTCCATCAGGATCGAAGCTGCGCAAAATTAAACATTCATCGTGTGCCGAATAAAATTTCTATTAACAGCGCTTCCTCGGTCATCGCAAATGTACGCGTCACATCAGAGAGGATCATGCGAATGCACTTTTGTCGCGCCTGGAAGCATAACGACTCATCACGGTTCTGGTTTGTCGCGCTCGCCCGTATTTATTACATGTTACATACACAAGGAATGAGATTTCCAAGGGCTCGCTCAGCCCGCACGCAATTTTTCACTTTTCTTCGTTCGTCGTTACGGACGCGTGAGCGACGACTGGCACTCACTGGCGGTGTTCTTTCAGGGACCCATCGGCTTGGACGGGCCCAAAGGTGATCCGGTAAGTTCACCGCATAATTTACATTTTAATTTCGTCGCGGCGTTACAAGCGTGCGAGATTAATTGCTTCGTAAAAACGTGAGAGGCAATATTTTATTTTGCGACGCTTAACGTTCTGAGAATAACATTATTTAATGGAATAATGGTTATGGGCGTGAGAGAGTTTTAATCATAATATATTTTGTGCGGCGAGAAACCTGTTTTATCAAAATTTATGTTTACGCGAGGTGTCATATTGTAATAAATAATCCAATATTTTTTCTTTTTATTTACACACAGGTATATTCCCATGTTTTGTAGATTTATATGAAATTTTTTTTCAGTGTTTTATTTTATAAAGTCGATCGACACCAAAACAAATACTAGACATTGCGAAACAATCAATTTGTGATTAAATATATGAGATAATCTTTGAAATTTTTTACTTGACTGAATTGTCGATAACGGCTCATATATATTTTAATCGACACAATATAAAATTAGATATGCTTTATCTAAATTTTCTGTCCTAATTGCACAGGTTTGAAACGAGGTCACTTATGACATTTTGGGAGCGTATGCTTGTCCTACTGTTCTTAAATATAAGATTGACAATTTATTTAAATCGTGTGCTTCTCTTCCTCTCTTTCCAATCGATTTAGTTTGATAAGTATTTTATGTAGATACAGCCTTGGCCAAAAACATTAGGCACTTTATGAACCATTATTTAAAGTTTTAGCTTAAAAATTGATTGTGGTATTTTATGTAAATCATCATTTATTTTAAGAATCTTTTAAACTTATATATAATGCTGGTAATTAATAAGATGGTAATGCAAGTAAAAGAATTCTAGATGAATGAAAAAATATAAGTACTTAATATTTTTTACTAAGGTTGTATATATGTGTACTATATGTGTATATTATATAGTCACATACTATTACGGAAAAGGTGAGACGTCGCTCGTTTGAAAAGACGATCAAGAAAGCAACGAAATCAAACGTTTGACATGACGGACGTAAAGATAATGACACGAGAAAGAGAGAGAGAGAGAAAGAGAGCAAGAATTTTGATATCGAGTTTCCGTCAGACGCAGCTGTTCCTAAAAGGATGAAACTTTTCTGGTCTACTTCGTAGTTCAGTAGGAATTGGAGTAAGATATTTAGTCTTGATATATTTCGAGACACGATTCGATCGGTATTCGAATCGCAATCTAAATATAATTGAAGAAACGGGAACGCGTTTAGGTACCAATCGCTCCAAACTCGTTTTGCTCTGACACTTTTTCTCGACCCCTTTGTTTGCAACAGCTGACGTATGTTGATTGAATTAGCCGCAAAAATGCAGAATGATCAATCATATGGGTGATACTTTTGGTATACCATATACATTTCGCTATCAGACTTTGTTTTTGACGAGTACGGATCAAATGCAGGCAATGCGAATGAAAACGTATCGAACTTTAAAATCAAATGAAACATTACGAAAATCCTATGCAGATATTTTCGCTGGCATTTATACGAATACGAATAATTGAAAAAATTATTATTGTCTTATATTTGTCTTATCATTATTTTAACAGCATGAAAATTGGTCAAACGGAAAGAATGATTTTGAAAAAATTACAAATTTAGCTATATACAATTCTGAAAATAATTCAACTAGATACAGATTTGAAAATAATTTTGAACCATTAAAATATAATAATTACGTAGAAAATTCAAGCATGGTGAACAATGCTGCAAAATGTTTTAGCAACTGCATAAAACTTTTATATAGCAACCAGTTTGAGCGTTCTATATAATTATTTTGATGACCCAACAAAATTATTTTCAAATCTATACCTAAATTTTCAGTTATTCGAACAAACTCTTCCTTTCCATAGAAAATATTTCTTTAAGATTTATAATACATAGCGTAAAAAATATTGAGTACATTAAAGTTGCAATATTAATTTACGGGTTTACAGACGTGAAAAGAACGATTTTGCTGAAGTATTTAAAAATTTAACTAGATACACACACACACGGATTTAAAAATAATTTTGTTGGGCCATCAAAATAATTATGTAGGAAACTCAAGCGTGATGAGCAATGCTGCATAAAACTTTTATATAGCAACCAGCTTGTGAGCGTATACATAATTATTTTAATAGTTCAACAAAATTATTTTTGGATCTGCATCTAGTTAAATTTTTATATACTTCATCAAAACCGTTCTTTCCGTACAGGTGTCGACTTTTTTTTAGCTACAGTCAACTTTTTTAACGATAAAATAGTATTGTAAATAAAAAAAAGAAAATCACTATAATTCACTTATCTATGAATATATTTATAAAGTGAAAAAAGCTTGTTATTAAAAAATTTACAAAAGCGACGTTATTGTGTAAAATCGTTATAAGATTAATAAATGACAAAATACTCAGCTTTCGTATGCAAAAATAGTTTATTAAAATCCAGTATAAAAATTTACATAGTATTTTTTAAACATGTGACTTCTCCGTAGTCAGAGTCGTCGTGATTTATTAAGACAACTCCATATTCTTGGTCGCGGTTGCAGTGTGCAGCAGTGTGGTCGAATAGGATTGGAAGATGAATCGGATTTTAAATTGAAGATTTGCTCGCTCACTTGCACTCACTTACTCTATTAACTCCGCTGTTGGTCGGGAAGCAGTTACTTGGCTGTGCTCGATCGTTGTATTTTCTCCGAGATGCGATCTTTTAACTCCAATCCGGACTCATCGGTTGAACCTATTCATCAACTGGTCTGCTATCACCTTCTTTTCGCGCTTAAACGGACGCAAGACATACAAAGTCGCGACACGCAAAAGGTCGTTTCTTGCCGCCATTATTTCGCTTATCATCCATAAATGTATAACAGTCTATACATAGGTAATGACAACATGTCCCCTCGAGAAAGTAGACACGCGAATATCGGAGCGACGGGAGCACGGATTGATTATTCCGCATTCCTTATTTCGCCGTCTTATTATATATCTGTCTGGCTGTTGCACATGCAAACCGACTGTGCGCACGTCATTGCGCTTTTGGAGTTGTCCCTTTCAATGAGATCGGATCTGCATAGATACTCGCGAGAGGTAGATAAGATGAAAACCGTCGTCTAACGGAATACGTAAATTCATGTATTAGGATATAGAAGTTCCATAGTCCGCACGTTCGCTTCGAGAACTCGTCCTGGCATATGAGATCGTTGCACGAGGCTCATGCTGGTTACACGACGGGGTCCTTGTATTATATCCCAGTACATGCATCTCTCTTGTATATGCGTGACTCTCGGTTATGCAAGGTCCTCGTGACACGCAAAGTCTTTTCGCATGACAGGCCCTTGTATGCGCGTCGGTGGCCCTTTGTGGCCACCTAGTTTGCCTTACCGTAGAGAACAGCCTCTGTCTATTGGTGTACACACACGTGCCCGGCGGTGTTTCGCGTATACGTTTGATGTCGCCCAGGATGTCACGGAATTACTGCTATTTCCCTTAATTACAGACGCTACGTGATTAATTAAGAAGATTGACGACACGGTAATAAGTGTTTTTTCGCCATGCGGGCGATAAGAAAATATAATCTCTTACTTGATCTCGAGTGGATATTATTTAAATATCATCATTATTTAAGGCACGTAGCCACCGAGATATACTACGTGCTAAGAAATAGAAAAGGATTGTAACCATATTAGGCATATCCAGAATTTCAATCGGTGAGAGGAGCAAAAATTTATCTTTACAAAAAAATTTTATTAAAATATTTATATTAAAGCCAACCTTTCCAAGACCTTTAGCGAACTTTCTTACACGAAAAGAAACAATTTTGTTGAAAAATCTAAAATTTTGCTCGATATATACACATTTGAAAATAATTTTGTTGGACGATCAAAATAATGTTGGAAACTAAAAATTGAGCAGTAAAAAATTTGATATTCTAGCAATCAGTTTAAGTCTTTCACGTTATTTTAATAATTCAACAAAATTATTTTCAGATCTGTATTCAATAAAATTTTAGATCTTTTAACAAAACCGTTTTTTCCTGCACGTACGTGAATTGAGCAACGAGCGTTTAACTTTTCATCGTAAAACGATTTTAATAATTTAATTGTTTTTAACAATATTAAGATCACAACAGGACCGCTTATATGAATACGTCAACTAAGTAAGAAAGCGCCAATTATATCAAAATTAGATATTGAAATGATATTCTACATGTACTTTTAAATAAATTTATCTTAGATATATGACAGTGTATCGATTACTTTCGGCTTTGCACAATCAAACTGAAACAATTTTCCAAATTAATTTTCTTTCCTCGCGAAAATTTAACGCCTCGCTTGCGTACGGCCATTATTTGTCCAACAAAATTTTCATTAAAGAACAATCCGTTACGAGAAATTCACGGACGATGGTTTTGGAATACTCTGTACGCTCAGGTACCTGATAGACTGGGGAGAGAATATACATGAGGACGTATTGTATGGTGGGACACTGACGTGACTGGATCTCGGTGGCGGTAAGGTACAAACGACCGAACAAATAGATAGCGAGGAAATGTGTCCGAGAGGAGGAAAACGAGTACGTGCGCGATTGAAAAAGAGAGAGAAAGAGGGAGGAAACGAGGGTAGGAGGAAGGGAGAGCAATAAGTGCATTGCAAATATCGCTAGTTGTTTGTTCTGTCGATGGCCGGGAAGAAAGGACCCGCACGATCGACGACTCCCTTCGCGTTTCTCTCTTTGCCCAACCGGCGTTTTCTTTTTAAACGAGTGTGGCAAACGAGTATGTACATAGTCACTGGCGACCAATACCCGGCGCCGAACCGTACTAAGGGTGTTCCGAGATTCGAATAACGAATCCGGCGTTTATATCGGATTTCGTACAAATAGTCGTAGCGCGGGTTACAAGCGGCAGTAGCAGTGACTCCGCAATTTGCCTCGGGATCACGCAGTTTATTTTCTACTCGCTACTCACGGAGAGGCAAGATCCGGCGTGCAAACACACAGGTTTATCTTCTTGGAAATTTACAACGCGCTATGTACACTGCGAGCTGACCCGGACGAAATATTAAATCGCGATTTTAACCCTCGTTGGATCGCATAATCCGAATCGCCCTCGTGTGTCTGCAGATTTACGAAGTTCGAAATTTTATGCAGATCCGCGTTCTCTTCATCAAGATACGTCGTGAAGGGTACGCGCCACATGATAACATAATTCTCGCGCATCGATACAGTAGATACGCAGAAGTGGATCTGAAAAAACTGCATGCAGTGAAATAGGAATGGTTTGATTTTTTATAGGATTTTGGTTCGAACTTTTGATCGGATATTGTCACTGGAACAACTGTAGATTGAACCTGAGCCTAGCGCAGTATTTTATACAGTATAAAAGAAAATATGCGGTTTGATTTTTAAGTTTGTCTACATTGAAAAAAAATTATTAAATCATGATACATATTTCTTTGAATAGTACTAAGTTAAACATTTACTTACAATAAACAAATATTTATTCAATAAAAAAAGTGATGGTTAAATTAATGGTTTGTGTATCAAATAAATATTTACATTTAGTAAATATTTTTTTAGAACTATTCAAACAAATATTTATTAAAATTTAGTATTTTTTTAGAGTAATATCTTCTCACTTTCTAATTTGTCTAATAATTTTATTTATTTTATTTGTTACGAAAAGAGACAAAAATTGAGAAGTTTAGTTGACGTTGCTTTCTAATTTGATGGCATGAATTGTAGCGAGCATTTATGTTTATCGAATTGGCATTAATATAAGTAATTATGTCTGTGAAGATAAAATAGTTAAGGACTAATGTGTCATTACGAAGAATAATTGACGGCGAGATTAAAGTGCAAAATCTTGCATCTAAAATATCTTCGTAGATTTTAGAAAATTATCTGAAAGAGAGTCTCATTTAATTAATAGTAGAATCTGCAGAATCTTCATACAGACATTTTGAGCTCTACACTATCGGATATTTCTGACGGAATGAGTGCGCCAGAATTCTTAATTAAAGCTGAAAGTCGGAAGTGTCTTCATAGTGATTCAACACGCAAAGCTGATGTGAAAACGAAATCCCGGCGTATCGTTTTAATATCAAAAAGAGATGATATGTAACAGAGCAAAAAGAGATGGTAAAATTCTCTTAAAATATTGTATAAAGAATTGCATGTAAAAAAAAGACTCTAAAAAAAATTCCAATTTTCTCTCCGAGTTTTTATAGCTATCTCACAAATTAGAAATAATGCGCAACAAGAGCCGAGAGATATTTGATCGCTACACAGTTATGATATAATACTCATTCTGAAAAAAGTCTGTTCATTCTGTCTATTGTATCATCGTTATTACTCTACGTAATACACAGCGTCTCTTTTGTTCACAGGGCCGACCCGGCGACAAAGGACAGAAGGGCGAGCTGGGCAGCCCCGGATTCGACGTCTTGTCCGCAGTAAAGGTATCTAAGCTACGCTATCTGGCGCAGAGTAAAGCAATATCCGCCGGCGCAGTCGTAATGCGAAAATGCGTGCCGCGCTCTGTCATTTCTCACCCTGCAGCCCTCCGTCGTCGTCCTTCAGAGCGCAATCTCGTAAAGCCCCGGTGTGTATCACGGAACGTGTGTAGTACCAACGTGGCCGAGACTCACACAGGGTGGAGAAAGAAAGAGAGGCGAGAAGAATACAGGATAAATTCTGAAGGGACGGCGGAAGGGTGTGCGGGTAGAAGTAAAACGATATTTTCATCGCGCGTAAAGCTGCAAATCCCATTTCATGTGGTAAAAGTGCACTCGAGCGGGAACGTTATTAACGCCTTCTCGATCGCGTCGCCGTGAAGCGTCAAAGGACCGACGATTAATCGAATAAATTACACGGATTTCGTGATTTCAGCCCGAAGAATTTCAGAAATATCTGGGAGCGAATTGAAGCGAAGAAATTAGTGTCATGCGCGGGGAAGCTCCGCTTTGGAGCGATCCGAAGTAGAACGAGGACTTTTATATACGAATCCTCCGGGAAATCATATATCCGAGGCTCTACCGGTGGCCTAATTCGCCACCGCGTTTATATACGTGATAATTAAATCTCTCGCGCGAAAACGAGATTTATAAAATCGTCAAAGCATTTGAAATAACATTTCGCGCGGCAATCCTCGACGTCCTATATAAAGGATCTGACGTTTTATTTAACTCGTCGCTTTTTTTAAGATCGAGATTTCCTCATTCCGCTCGAGCGCACTTGCGCGCGTCGTCGATCGCGCGCGATTTCTTTCACGAAGTGTCATACGACGAGGAGGTACTATTCCTCCTGTCGTTATCGGGTTCGAGGACCTAGCCAATTTCACCCTGGAAGTCGAGCGATGTTCGAGCGATTTCATTCGAGGACAACGATGCATGCACGATGCATTTGTCCGTGCACATGCATATGCATACGCTCGTGTCCAGGGCGAAATCACCGAGGTTCTGCGTCCTTTCGATCCAACATGCAACAAGCGCGTCCGAGTATCGATCGATGCGTTGCCGCACGACGACGAGCATATCACGCACCGAGTCCGCGTGCGATGAAGCACAAAGACGATCGACGGCTAAATGAAATTTACGATCTAAAGATTATTAATACAGTGGCTGCCAAAAGTTTCCAGCCAACATACAGTTTTACGATAATTTTTGTCAACCTTTTTTTCAGTTTAAATTATAAGTTAATAAGATCCTTATTATAATCAAGAATTTAAGAATACAATATTTTACATAAATACTACAATATACTAATACTTGCATACTAGATCTTTATTTATAATGATTCTTTATCTGAACTATTCAATAAAATTATTTCCCGGAAATGTTTGGCAGTCACAGTATATAAATATGTATTTTTCTAGGTTTTTATTAAGGCAAAATTGATTCCGGAGTAAGTTAAACAAATGCAGATTTTAGATATTAAAGCAGTCATTAGGAAACTATAATTAATTTCATTTTTGCGATCATATATACATTAGATGCTCTTAGAAGTTCTGTAAATGAAATTAGTCGAAAGTGATATTTTATTTTATATATTTATTGTGTACGGAGGAAGGAAATGATTTTTATATATCACACAGTAAACATTTGTCATCAATAAATAACGGCGGAATAAAAATAATGGTCCGGAAAAAAATCACGTCAACTGTTGCGTGCGATTTGTTGTCGTAAAACTCGTTCACGACGTTTTGCACGTTCGAACGACGAACAACGGAAAACGAACGATCGTTCCGTCGCGCGTCATCCGTCAAAATGCAGCGCGGAACTGGTGTGTGATTGGCTGCGTTCAGCAGAGATTTGCAACTGTTTGAAAATTCTTTAATATAATTGGTCTTGCCTTAATTCCTCACTGGATCTAAATATACAAATCACAATCATATTAAAGAATTTTATAACAGTTGCCTTTACAAAAAATTAACACTAGAAGATAGTAATTAATTATATGCTTCCTTTGAGTATTAAACTGTTATATGATGTTTTTAATACTCAAAATAAGTAATTATTATAATTACTACCTTCCGGTGTTAAATTTCTGTATCGGCAATTATTATTAGATTAAATGATTAAAAAATTATTATATAGTGCTTTTAAATCTTATAACAGTTGTACAGTGTTTAATACTAAAAATACGTAATTAATTACTTCCTTCCAGAGAACTAAATTTTTATAAGGACAACTGTTGGAAAATTAAAAGCACTGTAGTATACAGTGCTTTTAATATTTAAAATAAATAAATTAAGTATTACGTTCTAGTACATTCGATTTCTGTAAGAGTGTAAAGTTATTTTTTCTGCTGAATATAGCCATTGTCTTAGCCAGATGAATCCCTAGCGCGAGGAAAAAAAATAATCGCATTGATCTCTCGCGTTGTGCTTCTTTCCCGCACGCGGATTCCATCTGTCGTGAAAACAAATTTCATGCAAAAATCTGTTACGCGCTCGCTCGCCGGTCGACCGCCAACAGCCAACGGCAACGCGACATCGCAGTACGAGAGCAAATAAATAAACCTTGCCTTTTTTCTCGCCTACGGGTCAATGCACAGGGATTGGGGTTAAAGAGGTCGGTGACGACGCTCCGCGGCGGGACGCTCGGCTACGCGGAAATCGTCGCCCTCAAGGTAAACCGGCTTCCTTCTCCTCGGAAGGCGCGACACGCTTCTCGGTGTCGCGATCCGGACGGACGTCCTCCAATCTCCTCAATCGCCTCCCCCCGCTGTTTCTTACCCGTCATCTCGTCATTGTCCAACAACTGTCGTAGTCGTCGTCGCTTCTTCTCTTCTTCTTTTCATTCCCTGTCCCCACTGTGTTCACTTTTCCTCACCGTCAATCCCTTGTTATACCACCTGTATGTCAGTTTTTTTTTTTGTGTCCGCGCGTCGTTGCATACATCCCGGATGCGCGACAGGCCGCGGATCTCGTCGTCCAGTTGTTCTTTAGCTAGTCGTTGCCTCGTACGGTGCTTTCGGTGTAGCGTTCTCTCGTTGGTTTATACGAAACGAAGCGCGTCGTCGATGCTCGATCGTCGAATCGGGGCCTCTCTTTTCTCTGTCGATCATCGATTCCGATTTAATATAATCTCAGAAGGAATTTATTGAACCTTTGGAGGATGGAGGTCTATTTTTAAAATCTTACAGGTTTTTCTTGAGTAAGATTTGTCATAATTCATTATTTTATTGTATTTATTGCTTCAATATGAACTGAAAATATGACACTGTTTTAGCGCCTCTATAGTGGCTTTCCCGTCCTGTAAAGGTTAAAATATGTGTAGAATGATATAATTGCGTGTAAAAATGTTGATGCATATTATGTGCACATGCTTGTATTATTGATCGTGATCGAACGATAATGAGAGACCACTGAACGAACGATCATCGGCGACGCACTTTTTCATTTTGGTTTTTGGTTGGTAATGGTGTTTACTTTAAGTTACAGTATTTAGGTATATCTCTGGGCATGCCTTGGATTCGGAAGA